AGAGATATATATATATATATATATATATATATATATATATATATATATATATATATATATATGTATATATACAGAGTATTCCAGACTCTCCACCGTAATTTCTGTCGTACCGTTTTACAATATTCGCAATAAATCTCGAGATATTAATTAAAGAAAATTTGTGAATAATTACGCACGATATTGTAGATGAGCTATAGTGGCATTGTATACTTATACATTAGGTTAAACTAAACAAAAACGTCTTCTATCAAAGTAACTACGTAGATACACACGTTCTTTGCAAGTGATTACATAGATTTTGAGATATTAATTGAAGAAGATTTGTGCATATCGCGCACAATTAACATATAACAATTTTCTTTCGTTAATATAACTAAAAACTTACATAGTGGTTATTTGCAAAATGATAAAGGGCTTGTTTGTTCAATTTGACTTAATGTACAAGCACACAACCTCGCCATTACAGCTTATCTATCATATCGCGCGTGGTCATTCAGCAATCTTTTTTAATTAATTAATATCTCGACTATTATTGCGAATATCGCAAATAGGACTTTAACTTCAATCTGTTCTATGTTCCCACAAAAATTGCGAAAGAAAGTCTGGGACACACTGTATATATATACATGCATACACAGATATATTATATGTACCCTATTCTTGTACTCTATAATTTTTGTACAGAACTACGCGCAGTAGAACGTAACCTATTCATAGTAATTATTCAGTGTATAGTACTGATTCTCCGATCGCATCGTCGATCAGACGACGACGGTCGATCGAGATTTCATATTTTTATAGTTCGCGAGTACAAATCTAAGAAACGGCGAGCGGTGTACTGGCGAATTATTATTGTGTCGGTTTTAGTATAACGGCGGCTATTTTCTCTGCTCAACATGTTCCTGAGATATGGCAAGCAACTGAAATATTGTCCGCTCGCGTTCCGTCATGGCAGCGCCATTTCTACGATTCGACTGAACGTTTTAACAATTATTATTGCAGCTGTCGCGGCCACGCTCGCGCGAGAGCTGTGACAGATACCCGCCGTGCGGTTCCTTGTTCCCGAGAAACACATTCGCACGTAGTACGTACCGAGTCAGTCCATACTTTCTCCCCGGCAAATTAGTTGTCAACACAACGATATCGCACAATTTGTGTACGCGTCTACGGAGCGCCGTAATTCGCGATTCTGTGATGTGTCTCGCAGTTACTGACCGATAACTGAATTTACTTCGTCGATCGAGTCGCAGCATCTCCACGCCGCACGACGAACGATCCTTGATCCTTGATTCTTATTTTCCTCTCTTGTAAATATACAGGGTGAGCCATTTTAATCAACGGATCCAAATTGCTCCTAAAATACGCCAGCTACAAAAAACTGGTTAAGACAAGAATTGTAGAGGACAACGGGGATCATTTTACCGTGCTAATAATTTTGACCTTCAGATCGATTTTTAAGGTCATTCGAAGGTCAAAGTCATTTTTTTAAATTAGAACCCCTATTTTTGACACTGGATTCGAAAAGAGCAGAAAATTTTACGTTAAAAATTATATTTAGATTTTTTTTTCTGAGTCCAAGAAGGTCAAATCAAGAACTTGAAAGATGTTAATTCAATACTTTTAGCGTTACCCAGAAACGACGTGGACGTGGAGGATAGTCAACCATATTTAAAAAAAAATTTTTCAAGTTACCTTGCACTTAAAAAAGAAAAATTGTTAAAAGCAATACTTTAAAAGTGTTTGTTTTTACTTTTAAAATTTTATTTATTACGTCTTATTAATAATCATATCAAAGTGAGATTATTGCGCATCAATTTCCGAATTTTTTTGTAGCTGGCGTATTTTAGGAGCAATTTGGATCCGTCGATTA